ACCTCACAACATCCATCGACTACATGGATGGCTCAACATCCGTCAGAATAGACCACAGCAAGCACTGTTGGAAAACCTCTAAATCAACATGGATTGCGTTAAATTGGACCTCTCCGATATATTAGACACAAATAATATCATTATAACGTAAAGGTTTGTCCTATAGCCGTCAATTTCGGTTGCAGATACCACCATTTCGGTTTATTTCGCGGTGTCCTGATCTTATAAGCTGTTAGTTGTTTTTAATTAATAGATACATATATTAAAAAGGGCGCTCAATAATAGAGTTTATTTCATTTGATATTATTTTACCAACCGGCATAGTTCCAGCAATGGCAGATGCGGAGTTGCAAACCTTTACATCCATAATGGACGCTCTCGTGCGCATCAGCGTAAGTAGGCTACATTTGCATCATCAAAACCACATATTTGCACGTTATCTGTGATTTGCATGCGGCTGTTATTTAACACACGAATGCACGTCATATAGCAGCTTTCAAAGAAAAGGGACATTTTAGTGTTTTTCATACCCAAATGTAAAATTTTAAAAATAGCGTTAACATAGAAAAACACCCCATTTTTTTATTGAGAGCAGATCATTTCCTCGGAATGTGCAAATAACACCTGTAAGCAGAAACCGAGCTCCTCATCTGCTACCAGCCGCTGAAGCGCGTGTAGGCCAAGGCTGCTTTTCTCTGGTATTATATGATATATTTGCTCTCACTCGTGTAGGCCAAATAAATAACAGAATATTTTCCCGTTAATACAAGATTGAATATACGGGCGCATTCAGTCTACCTTAGTATCTAATTGACGCATAGGCCTATCAGACGTTGAAACAACATATACATTGATTCAATGACTTGATGGAAAATTAAAGAAGGCTTTATAAATCCAAGAAAAGGTAAAAGGCCTTGTCACTGTCGCGCGACAGGATGCATGTTGCCATAGAGACGGGATGCATGAGCGCTGAGGCCTGGAGAGCCTATGTGGGAAACGCCCGTTAAAAAGACGGATAGAAGACAGCTGGGCGAATTTAATTATTTGAATGGCTTATTGACCAAATTAAATGTATATGCTGTCAGCTGTGGGGAAAGTAACGGCTAGACGCTGAACAGAAAACAACTTAAAATAGCCAAAAATTGATTTGCTGGTCTGGTTTAGAAGGGTTTAGGGCCCTTTTCTTCAAGATCATCTTGCTAAGCAGCTAAACTAGCTGAGCACCTGTCTGCTGATCAGTGTGTCAGCATGTTCTTTTTTCATTTGTTTTCAAATGATTGGGACTAATAGAGTTGCAACAGTGCCTGGCCACTTTTTCAGCAGCCTTGGTTCTGGAAATAATCATAAGGATTTAAAAATACGTTTTTAACTGTTAAGATATGAAGCAGACCGACCAGCTATGAGGTGAATCACAACATTACAAAGTTTAATTTGAAGCAAAAAATATCTGAAAACTGAATAAAACAAATGTACAAGACTGTGTACTTAGTGGCTTTAATAAGGAAGGAGCTACAATCCTGTGAAGAATTACATTAAAAACATTTAAGAAATGTAAACTATTTGTTTCACTATTTTGATTCATATAGAAACAATATATTTTATGTGTATTGCAAAATCTAAATATTTAAGTAGTTTAAGAGTGTAGGGAGAATCTGCGCAAGTGGACTGGCATAAAGTGTTCTTTTGGCAATATTTACTAGTGAAGGTGGAGATTTCTTTTCAGAATCTTGGGTAATGCAGTTTTCACCATCGATTCCACTGTTAAACATGATTATTTAAAGAATAGGTTGAAATAATGTGGACTGACAGCTTTAACAAAAGCATAAACCATCAATTAAAAAATGTCTGTCTTTAAAGGTTAATCATTTATCATTCAAAATCAGTAAATAAATCAAATGAATGTGATTTTTACTTCAAGAACTGTTGAAATATTATAATTTATTTAATTTAGATTCCATTGGTGTAGAATTAAAAAATGTTTACTTCCTTAAAATGACTATACCAAATATGAAGCTCAGGTGGCTGGAATGTAAATAAACAAGATTTCTGTAACCTTAAACTTTATTACAGAAGCCAACATGAAGTTTTTCGAGTTTGAGGAGTGACATTCTTGTACTTTCTGGCATTTGAAATGTTTGAGTTGCATTTAGACACTCAGACCAAAGATACAAACACACCTTTGAACAGATTTCTCTATTTGAAAACAACTCGTAAATCTCTCAATTATGAATAAAACGAAGTGGCTGAAAATATCAGTCATACTGTATGTGTCACTCATGATTTGAATGTTGCATAAAAAGATTTCCATTGTTACCTCACAATGCGAAACTGGAGTAATTTATAAAAAGTACTAGAATAAAGGAAGTATTGACTGCGGTTTTAATAAACAACATGGCTGTTTGTGTGTGTTGATGTTTGATATGCACATCCTTCTCCTGATATGCAAATGTTCTGACTAACCTATTTCCATATTGTTTACCTTACATAAACCCAGTCCACAGCATAATCCATAATCAATTTCAGTCATTAAAATGGAAATAATAATAATAATAAAATACCCCTGTTCTACTCCAAATATAACATCTTTGGATCAATCTACAGTTCTTCAAAATAAATAAATAAATAAAACATGAAACTGCACATAACATCAGGAATTAATATTTTTGAGTGAGCTTAACCTCAGAATCAGGATATATGGCTATGATCTATGCTTATATATACTGTATCAACATAATCTATAATGTAAAGAGCATGCCTGTTTGATTGCATGTTTTGTTCTGCTAATTATTTATTTAACTCTGTCTCTTTCTCTGTCTAGTCCAATATGAAGAGCATAAAGAGAGAGCTGCACTGTCCAGTGTGTGAGGAGATGGTCAAGCAGCCGATAGTGTTGCCTTGTATGCACAGTGTGTGTGTACTGTGTGCGGCAGAAGTCTTGGTTCAAAGAGGATACCCTCCACCCGAACTCCCCGCAGAGCCCAAAACTCCCACCTCAAGCCCCATCACGCGCTCTCCCCGACAAACACGCCGGCCTCCGCCCAAAACAGACCGACTAGACCGGGTGATCAGAACAGGTTTGTGTGTTCATTAATAGACACTAAGATCAAAATAAAGTGTGCTGGTATTTTATTAAACAGCTGTCTGGGACACTTGATTCTGATTTGTCAATCAGTTGGTCAGTTCTGCAGTCAAGCATTTTTTATAGTGACCACTAAACTGTACACTACCATTGAAAAGTTTGGGGTCAGTGGGATTTTTCAATGTTTTGCTCACCAAGGCTGCATTTATTTAATCCCAAATACAGTAAACACTGTAATATTGTGAAATATTATTCTATTTTATATGTTTAAAATGTAATTAATTCCTGTGGTGGCAAAGCTGAATTTCAGTAGCCATTGCTCCAGTCTTCAGCGTCCCATGATCCTTCAGAAATCATTCTAATATGCTGCTTTTTGCTCAACAATCATTTCTTATCAATTTTGAAAACAGTTGTGCTGCTTAATATTTTTGTGGAAAGCGGGATATTTTTTCAGGATCCTTTGATGAATAGAAAGTTCAAAAGAACAGCATTTATTTGAAATAGAACAAAGTAAAAGTTTTTACAGTAACTTTTGATCAATTTAATGCATCCATGCTGAATCAAAAAAAAAGTTTTAGTGACTCAAACATCTAATTTTACACTCTTGTATCTCTTTGTGGTCCTTTTATTCTCCCATAATCAAATAATTTTTTAGCTCAAATCAATTATCAATAAAATGTAAGAATCATGTCAGTTTAATAATTTGTTTGCTTATTATTTAATAAGTACTTTATATATAGTTTAAAAATATTATTAGATAAAATATTATTTATAGAAATAGTTTGAATGATTATATGACTTTTTATTAAAAATATTTGCAATATGCTTACTAAAACATGACAGCATGTCAAGTTAATTATTTATTTGTTATAATTATAATATTTATTTAAAAATCGAATACATTTTTTTTATTATTTGTTATTTAAACATGATGTATTTTTAAAACAATTGATTTAGTTATATTAAATAACATTTAAAATGCTGACATAACAGCATAGTTTTAGCTCTGTGCAAAAGTTTATAGATGTTACTGTATCATTCAGATGTATTGCATCTGTGCAGCACTTTGGAAGTGCGTGTGTGTTTAAATGTAGCCGTCATGATGGGCTGATTCTGAATGTGTCAGCATACAACAGGCCTTTGGAATCGGTTCTCTTTCTGCATTGATTAGCTTTTCCTTTCTTCTTCCTGGCTTAGATTTATTGGGGCTTAAAGAAGCTTTAATGTTGGTAACAGCTTTTTCTACCTGTATCTCTCTCTCTCTCTTTGTACAGTGTGTGGGACACATCCAGGACGCAGGCGTAAAGACACCCCTCCTGTGATCATGCTGTTCCCCTGTCCCACCTGCGGAAAAGATGTGGAGCTAGGAGAGAGAGGGCTTGCAGATTGTTTAAGAAACCTCACGCTGGAGCGTATAGTGGAGAGGTCTCTCTCTTTCTCTCTTTCACACGCAAACACTCTTCCTCACAATTTCTGATTTTCTTAACTGGAGCTACATTAAAATTGAATTCCAGTAACTGTGCTGTACAATGCAGAAATGTTGTTCTACTGGTTTGGAACCCTTGAGCAGATGTTCTGAATTTGCATCTATTCATAGGCACATCACCAAAGAGATTGATAGCTCTTTGAATATTCTCACACAGTACGTGGACCAATGAAATGACCTTTTTGGCATTGCAAAATGAGGTAGAGAAAGGAGGAGACAGAAAAATATTTAGTTTCTTCCTTCCAGTAATGAGCATGCATAGCTCCCATTCTGAGCTAGTGTAAAAATGTGCACAAGCAAATAGCCTTAAGCTTTCAAAATGACCATAACGCTGTGTAGGTTCCATTATAGATTTAAAAATCAAGAGAAAAAATATTTAACTCAAAAATTAAATCAAAGGAATCAAATGAGTACAACATGGACACAGATTAATAAGTCATGTGAACAAATTCTTAAAGTATGTTCCTTTTAACATCTAAAAACTTGTGGGTTCAACTTTTCCTTTAAAAGAGAAGTTGTGAGAAAATGGGGAAGCTGAATTTTTGTTTTATGGAGTCTTTGGACAGCTGAGCTGCATCTACCTCACAATACAACACCACACACGCTATAATTTATGTACACATACAAATATATAATAAAATTAAACAAGCATGCGTACATGTAACCCAAGCCATATGTGTTTACTTTTCAGATTAGCCTCATGTTATTCATTTTAAAATCACAATAGATGACCGGTGTCTTTCTTCGTCCATGTGTGCAGGTACAGGCACACAGTGAGTCTCGGCAGCATGGCAGTCATGTGCCAGTTCTGCAAACCTCCTCAGGCTCTGGAGGCCACCAAAGGCTGCGCTGATTGCAGGTCCAACTTCTGTAACGAGTGCTTCAAGCTGTACCACCCTTGGGGCACACCGCGAGCCCAACATGAACACATTCTGCCCACACACAGCTTCAGACCCAAGGTAAAAACACATGGGACCATTCTGAGAGAAGATCAACACTAATGGGCCACAAACATAAAGAGGGAGAGAGAGAGAGTCTTTGAGTCAAACCATAAATTCCAGGTTGCTCTATGTTGACATTCAGGTTCCAGTTTTTTTTTCCACACCTCCCAGTGTTTTGAAGAAATTTACCAGTCATATACATTACCATTCAAAAGATTTTTTGAAAAGAAAGTAATACTTCTATTCAATTTTCACCAACAAAAATAGTTTTATGCCAGTTATTTCTATCTTTTGCTGTATTATGTCAGTAGGAAATAACAGTTTACTTTTCCAAACATTCCTTTTGCCATTAATTGTAATAATCCAGTGATATTTGTGTATGCACAAGGAGTCTGACAACAACCAGTGCTCCACACAAAGATCTGATCCCACCATCATCCAGTCTGTCTGGAAAAACTGAGACAGACTAAATCCAGAAGAACTGTGGCAACGTCTCCAAGACACTTCAAGAAACCTTCCTGCAAAGCTACAATACTGTGAAAAGTTTTAGACACTTTTGTAAAAATGCTGTAAAGTGAGGATGCTTTCAAAAATAATGACATAAATAGATTTTATTTATCAATTAACTTATATTAACTAAATCAAATCAACATCTCA